AGACCCAAGGCTCCATCCCTAACCCAGAAACTATCTCCAATTGCTAACTGCTCACAAATGAAAAACTTAGCTTTTCCCAGTGGCGTCTTCACTGGGTATACAAACAACCCTTAGGGACAGATTCCATGCCGAGCACAACACAAAGGGAACCCAACACCATTTCTGGAGGCTCCTTGTCTCTTGGGGTTTTGTCTAGGCATGATTTTTATTTTCTTTCCTTTTTCCCCCTTTAGGTTTATATATATATATATAATGGTTTCCATGTTGTATTTTTATGAGATTTTCATGTGTTCCTTGTGCTTTTATCTTTGGATCTTTTCCTCCCAGCTGTTTGTTTCTTCTTATTTCAGTTTGTTTGTTTTTATTTTATCTTATTTCTTCATCTTCATCTTCATCTTCTTCTTCTTCTTCTTATTATTATTATTATTATTATTATTATGCCTTTTGTAGTCTTCAGAGAGAGTGAGAGCAAGAAAGTGAATGTGTGTGTGACAACGAGAAGAGAAGAGAAGAGAAGAGGAGAGAGAGAGAGAGAGAGAGAGAGAGAGAGAGAGAGAGAGAGAAGATTTGTCTGAATGAGGAGTAGGGGACGATCTGGGAGGAGTTGGGGGAGGGGAAATCATAGTCAGAATATATTGAATGAAAAACAATCTCTTTTCAATTTTACCAAAGGGAAAGTAAGTGGCGTTAAGTGATGTTATCATTATAGGAGGACCAGCCCTAAAGACAGGGCTCAGCTTAACAAACAGCAGCCCTCTCGAAGTGGCACTAGACTATTGCTCTTCTCTGAAATGCTTCTTTGGAAAAGCATCATCAGCCAAATTTGGTCAGTTCATAGCCATAGATTTTCCTGGGTGAGGGTGACCTGGCTGTCTTTGTATTCAAATATATTCTGTTTTAACATGGTTGCTATTTGTGGACATCAGAATTTTCAATTTCCCTTTTATTAACAAATATGTGATTAGATTATTTCAAACAAGAGCCATGTGATGATCCATCAAGAAAATTCAAGCCCTTCTGAGTACTGCAAGAGCTAGAGGATGGCTGTTTTCCTGCCAACGGCAGCCATCCTCTAGTTTCTGGGTTAGGATACTCCTTAAGAGTGTTTACTCCATGCTCAGCCGCAAACAGGACATCTATGCCATACCTCCTCTCCAGTGGTTCAGGCTCCATCGTGGAGAGGGGCCAGAAAGGCTGTATGAGAGAGCGTCCTCTGGACACAGTAAGATTGCTGCTCTCATAAACTCACAAGGTTGTGGTTGCTTGCACAAGATCAATAGTCAGTGTTCAGCTTCTATGTGGGAAGGGTTCACTAGTGCCCACCTCTTGCTGAGGAGCCATCAACAGTCGATGGATTCTGAGGGAGATGGAACGTCAATTTTCTTTAAGGGCGTGGGTCCCGGTAGGTAGAACACACTCCAGTAGATGGTCCTGCACCCATGAGTATATGAGCAGCACTCATTGTATCAGCGAATTGTTAAGGCAAATAAAGAGGACCCAGATTGGAAGGACATGAGGGTTGACAGAGGGTTCTTGAAGGAGGTGCAAAGAACAAGACAAAGTGCATAGCTTGCATGTGTGAGATGATTAAAGAATGAACAAGAATAATATATAGCATCCTTTTGTATTTTAAAATACATTTAACTCAAACTTTTACTTAAATAATCGTAGGTAGCAGATGGATACCAAGTCGCTCAGTGAGAGCTTCATTTATTCCTCTTGTTTTGCATGAGTAAGGAGCGACTCAGAGAATCTATCTATATAGTTTCTAAGGGAGGAAGTCAAGACTAAAATTCAGACCTTGTGATTGCTAAAAGTAATGCTGTCTTTATGGTGTTCAGTGGCATTTCTGTGCGTCTATGTGCACACGTAAAAGGAAAATCAACTGTTTTAAAAGGAGTCATACATTTTTAAAAGTACTAATTTTTTTTAAAAAGGTTTAATATGATAAGTCATCTGGGAAAGACAAATTAAACGGATGTTTTTAATTAACAAAATGATAATGTTTGTTATTGGTGAGTGAGATAAATACCTTTTATAACCATTTATAAAAATGATAATCATTAATACAGTGTTGGAGGAGATCTATTTTGTGGTAAACATGTTATTAACATACATAACAAAGCATTTCAGCTTTGTTGTTATCTGGAATTCCAGCATATACATAAAGAAATGTGTTCAGGGCATTAAAATCATAAAGTTTTCTGAAATCCTAGAAACACCTACAGATCTAGTAGTAGAAAATGAATAAGACAGATACAGAAAAAATGAATGAGTTCTGTTTCCACATTTTCCAGTGATGTTCAAATACATTGTTGTTAAAAAAATAAAATAAAATTCAAGATCCAGAAAACAGGAAAGTGCCAATGCAATAGTGCCATTTATATAAGACAATGGGGAAAAGTTATGACTTTATATAGTTTTAAGAATGTGTGTAGAGATACTGTGAAAAAAACGTTATCTGGAGATGGGGTGGCCACTAAAAGTTGACTTCTTTTTGTTATTTTGGCCTTATATTTGTTGGATTCGCCTCAAGTCACTGACATTCTACATGTGAAATCTTTAAGGCAATGTTGATTATTGAACATTACATTTAAGTTAAAACACTTGGTCTGAAGAACTAAATTTTTTTATGCGGTCATCAACAGCTTAATTTCCTAGGTGCCTTCGACTTTGGGTCCTTGGTATGGAGCCGTGAACCAAATAGGTATATTCTTGCACCTGAAAGACTTTCCCTACAGTTTAGAAATAGATGTGTTTTCTCTGCAGAGACCATCTGACTTCCTTTTCTTTTGGGGGGCATAAGGGGTTCTAGACAGAGTTTTGCTATGTAGCTTTAGCTGTCCTGAAACTTGCTCTGTAGACCAGGCTAATCTCGAACTCATGGAGATTCACCTGCCTCTGCCTCCCAGGTTCTGGGATTAAAGGTGTGCGCCACCACCATCTGGCCCACTCTGACTTTTATGTGATTCTCTTCCCCACAACTCTAATCCACCTCCTGCTCCTCCTGACTCCATGAAGAAGTGTAGGGAGGACTGTACAGAGGATACAGTCACAGCCAACCAAACCCATCTCTTTGCTTTATAGCCATCCACAGGTGACCAAAGGATCAGGGCAAAATAGTACAACGTCAGCAAAAGAGACCCTCTTCACTTGTCCCAGAAGTGTTCAGATCTCATCTACAACAGCACCTGAGCTAGAAAGCCGTCAACTTCAGAAATGACTGACTTAGTAAATGTGTTGCTGAAAGCATACATTGATGGAAGCTGCCGACAGCCTGCACCTGGGCAACTGCAAGCTTAAATAGTTGAAGCTCCTAGCACACACACACAAGTTCTACACACACTCTGTAGTTGTTTTTTTTTTTTTTTTCCAGTGGCTCTCCCTCCATAGTAATGAGGAGAATGCCAGGCTTTCAGCCTGTCCTTCGAGGCCCTTCCACCAGTTGCAACTTCAACACTGTGTGAGGCTTGCCCACACTGGTGGCCGTAGACTCAACTCATGCTTCTGGACCGCCTCTGAGAACCACTGTTCATATTTCATAGCAATTTAAGTCCGTTCCTCATCTCTTAAGCTTGCAAATGGAAATCCCTCCATTTCATAGTCTCAGCTGCTAGAACTATTTCATACTGTCATCATCAAAAAAGACAAATGCTTAACCCCAGGAAGAAAGTAGTCTTCAAAGTTCCTGATGTGCCTTAGAGCAAAGAACAGTATATTGAAGATTCTACACCTGTAACTTCTCAGTTGAGAACAGTTCAAGCTCGCACCTAAAGGCTCTCTCTGTGTGGAACAATGGCATTAAACTCCTGGATCACCTCCACCTCCACCAGCCTGTGTGACCTAGGTAAGTACCGTAGACATGCACATTTAACTCCAATGTCGCCCCCACTTCCACCAGACTGTGACCTAGGTAAGAACCATAGACACACACATTTAATTCCAATGTCACTCCCACCTCCACCAGACTGTGTGACCTAGGTAAGAACCATAGACACACACATTTAACTTCAATGTCACCCCACCTCTGCCAGAATGTGTGAGCTAGGTAAGAAGCGTAGACATGCACATTCAACTCCAACATTATCCCCACCTCCACCAGCTGGTGTGGCCTTTGTAAGTCCCTATTTTTCTCTTTCTTTCCGATGCTGCTCTATCTTCCTTATCTCAGCTTCTTACAGATTGCTGTTCTGGAAAGTCTTCCCTGAGTTACAAATCAGTGTCCTTCCTGCTCACATCACTAACGTCAACCCCCCCATACTCTGCTGTCTAACTTGTTACACAGCATTATGTAAACATGTTCCTCAATTTATCTTAGCTTTATCGTCTCATTTATGTTGCTGGCCAATACACAATTTCTACCAGTTTAACAAATAGTAAAACAATTGCTAATGCTAGGAACAAACTACAGGTGAAGCTGTATAAACACATTCTCTCCGATTGCCACAAAATCCTACTAGAAAGTTAGTAGTGTTATTGATGTGTTTGTTGTTGATGAAAGTAAATGCAAGAAAGATGACAGAGATGGTTAGTTTAGTAGGGCATCAGGAGAGTTAACAATCAAGCCCTTGCCGCTTTAAGGACCATGCTTTTAGCTGCTACCCTGTGAATAGGAGCTTACAACACCAGCTCTGCGTCCTTACTGGACTCAGGCTCCGTATTAGAACTGCCACACACGTTAAGCTCCCTCAAGCCCTGGGATCTACATACAGTGGTCATAATACCAATTTTTTTTAATGTACAGTTAAGGTTTGGAACTGTTAGTGATCTCGCCAAGGTCAAAGAACTAGGACTATGAATGCAAGTGAATCTCCCTACAGAGCCCGAGTCCTAACCAACTAACTAGTTGCATGACGAGATGGTAGAATGGACTTGAATCTTTGAAAACACTATATACGTTTTCAAGAATAACTACCTAGAACAAAACTGGATCCTAACCCCTTCTGAGTAATGCAAACCAACCAAACTGATCTACCACCCTGCCTCCCCCCAGCACTCACCTTAGCACATGTGTGGATCCATTAATGGTTGTGGTTGAACAGGGGACAGTCTGGCCCAGAATGGAGGGTCTTCTGTAGCGTTCATCATCACAGCAGAGAATGATGAGGAAGGCACGTCTGAAAGACTTATTCAAGAAGGCATAGAGAAAGGGGTTCAACCCTGAATTGATGTAGCCAAGCCAGAGGAAGGCAGTCCACACCTGCTCGGGGACAGTGTAGTCTATGAACGGGTCCACGACATTGGTGACAAAGAAGGGGGCCCAGCAGAAACAGAAGCAGCCCATGATGACGCATAAAGTCTTGGCTGCCTTGGTCTCTGTCCGCATGCGATGTGTGCTGTGCTGGTCAGCTGGCTGGGGCCTGCTTTCCGGGGTGGCTCCTGCTCGTTGTAACATCTGGATCTGCTGGGCATGCTCCTTAGCGGTGACATAGATACGGTAATAGGCCAGCACCATGAGGAAAAACGGGATGTAGAAGGCTACAACGGAGCAGGTGATGGCATAGGGCTTGTTGACCATGAAGACACAGCATGTCGAGTTAGAGTTGTGGTTGAGTTTCCTTTTCTCTATCTGAGAGTGGGGGGCGGGGAGAAAAAATGAGTGGGGGGAGGTGAGTGAGGAGCAAACAGTGAAAAAAATGGCAAAAGTGAAAAAACAGGAAAAATGGAAAGAGAAGAGAAGAGAAAGAAGATAAAGAAGAGGGTAAGAGAGAAAAGGAGGAAAGAGAAAAGAAAAATTAAGGTTTATTATTAAAATTTTATTTTTCTTACAAATTTATAGCACATAAGACTTTCATGGTAGAAAAAGAACATGTCCCAGAGTTCAATGAGCTTGTCTATGTGAGGTCTCAGGAAGAAAAGGAAGATAGAATCAGTGATCATTCTCAATTCCATCTATACATCTTCCTTGTCTGTCAATAACATATGAATATCTCTTAACAGGATGTCTTAGATCACTACCATCAAATATGTTTATGATATGTGCAGATTTTGACCCCTCATATAGATCAATTGCTGAACTTCTTCATTTTAGCTGCCACATTTTTAAATAATAACTTTGTTTATATTTGAAAACTTCACCCTGTATCATTGTAAACCCAGATCTTTGGGAAATGCTGAGCTCTTTCCTAGATTTGTTTCTCTGCTTTCTAGATATACTGATGGAAGTTTTACCATTTAGAAAGTATAGTACTGGAAGCATAAACATAGAGAAATGAGCAAAAGAAGTATAGGGCTTGGGAGAAAGGAAAGGTAGCTATTTCACAATCACAAAAGATAAAACACAGTAGTTGCCCGATTGTTCATAGTTTTACCTCTCATGGCTTTTGTTAACATAGGTCAACCAGTTCAAACATTGGATAAATAAAGAATCCCTAATTTTTAAATTGTATGTCATCCTGAGTAACATTAAGAAATTCTACGTACTCCATTCTCTTCTGTCTCACACAAGAAGTGAGTCATCCCTCTCTCCAGCATGTCTACATTATATATGTCGCACAATCGTTAACTACTTGGTGGTATTCTCAATCATCAGAATGACTGTTGAGATACTTGACTTCAGGTAGCCCTTATTTTCCTTCACAATGACCCAAAGCACACGATTAGTGCAATTTGATAGCAGCATGTAGTTGTAATTGTTCTACTTTATTACAGTCATTGTTATTGTTCTCTTTCAGTGCCTAACTTATAAGATGAATTTTATCATACATGTGTATAGGGAAGATACTGTATGTATATGTAGTATATATGTAGTGGTTCCAGAAATCCTCAGGGGTCTTGGAATGTAACACCTAGTGGATAATGGGATATTCATTTTTCTCTCCTATCTTCTACTGAATCCACTCCACTCAGGACTTATTTACAGTCATTCCATCCAGAGTGCCATGGTCAAGGTTGCCAAAGACCTCCACAAATCTATGTCTTATTTTAATCAGCTAATGTATTGATGCATCTGAACCTTAAAGCCTCCCTTACGATACATATTTTATTGAAGTAAAGCATAGTGTACAAAATCATAAATGTGTATGGTGAATGAATTTTTCCAAAATAAAAATACGTATGTAGCCATACATGTACAAATCAAAGTATAAAATATTAGTGGCATCTCTAATGCCTCCCAAATACCCCTCTCAGTTATAACCATATAGTTTGTTGTTATAGTCATGTAGTTCCCAATGGACTGTATCAATGAACATTTCTGCCACTAAGCTAGGAGCACACTAGTTACTCCACATCCTAGGTATCACTTGTCACAATAGTCTATACATAGATGTTCCTCATTGTGGGCTTGTTTGAAACTTTTTGAAAGTACTATCCATTTCTCTCTTTCTCCCTCTTTCCCCCTTCTTTGTCTCTCTCTCTCTCTCTCTCTCTCTCTCTCTCTCTCTCTCTCTCTCTCTCTCTCTCTCTCTCTTTCTCTCTCTCATGTGTGTGAATGTGTGTGTGTGTTAGTTCTTTGAGAATTTTCAACAGTGTGCTTTGATAATATTCACCTCCTCCCCCCAAGTCTTTCCAGATTGGACCCATTCCTTTTTCACCCATTTGTATTTTTAATTTCCATCAAGGCCAACTTGTGTTTCCCAAATATACTTGGATTGTGGTCTTCCATTGAAGCATGACAGACTTATCAAGGGCTACACTCTTAAGGAAAACTGATCCTTCCTCTCCCAGCAGCTAGTATGTGCCAGAGGTAAGACTTGATGCCTAATTCCCCAGTCAGTGCTGGGATTTGGTCTGGCTCGAGTTTGTATATGTCTTATGCATGCTGTCATAGCCACTGTGAATTCATATGTGCAGCTTCTCTGATGGATTCAGAAGACAGTATTTTGCTGTCACCATTCAAAGCATCTGACTCTTACATTCTTTATTCAATGATCCTTGCATCTTTGGAGGGGGAAGTGTGGCACACAAGTACCTTTTGGGGATGAACATTTTATGGTCTCTTATTCTCTGCACATTGATTATGTGTGGGTATCTGTGTTGATCATGGTCTACCACAAACAGAAGCCTCTCTGATGAAGGTTGAGAGCTGCTGCCTTAATCTGTAGGTGTAATGTCATTAGGAGACCGTTCAATACTATATCCATTTAGCAGAATAATAGTAGTAGGTTCTTTCCCAGGGTCTGTGATCTGTGCAGTATAGGCTCTTTGTCTGATAATGGGAACAGGTATGGGCTTCATCTTGTGAAGGTGACCATAAATTCAATCAGAAAGTGATTAATTGTTCCAACAAGATTCATGCCTTTCATGCCTTATGTCTTTCAAGGCCAGTCATTATTACAGCTTACAGGATTCACAGATGGGCATGACTGGTGATGGATTTTCTCCTCTGGTAGCATGTATAACCTCTGCCAGCACCATGAAAGCTAGCCAGCAGGGATGAAGCTTCCAAGTCAGTACCAGCTTGATTTTCCATGTTCTATGACTCAATAATGTGGTGTGTTTGGTAGTTTGGTCTTACTGTCAAGTTCTGGTTGGTAACCAGGAAGACTGGCAATAGCCTTTATTGTGTGAGCATCTTGGAGAAACTCACGGGAAAAGAGGTCAACCTTGAACAATGTCTTGGTCTTCCTTGCTCACATGATTTGAACATACTAACACGCATTTCTTGGGAAAGAAGGGATGAGTTTCTGCTTCTATTCCTGATTAGTATTTTAGTTCCTCCTCTTGAGACTAGACTAGAACACGGAGCTACTTCCCAGCTTCTCAGGCCATAATCTTGCAATTGTGTATTTTGACTCAATCCATGTTAGTCTTCTTAGGCTCAGTATACCCTGTCCTCTGTACTCTGTTTCATGTTTATCCCACCTCACCTGAGGAACTAGATTCTTTTTTAATCAAATACAGTAACATAGAATAAAGTCTAAATCAGGGCTGCTCACATTGGGAATATGGTTTTGTCACACATTTCCAGACTTCTAGATGTCAATTACCACTTTGCCATTTGTCTTGGGAAGTCATTATTCAGGAAATTTCTCCTTAATAAAGGTCTATATAGGTCTTTTTTGTTTCAATAGTTTGATATTCTGGACATGTTCATTATCAAATCTATATATTACAGATTCTTGATTTATTTATTTTATTGTTTTTTTTACTAGTATTAGGTGATGGAAATTTTAATTTTAAGAACCTTTAGCTTGAGTTAGTGCCTTTGTGGCCTGTTAAGAAATCTTTATCTCTCATAATAAAAATATTCTCCTATCTACCACTTGATGACATTTTCTCATATCTTGGTACACATTTCATGAATTTTTACATTGTGAATTCTTCAGTTCATTTGGTATATACTTTTCCTGTAAGTTTTTTGTTGTTGTTGTGGTTTCTATTGCTATAATAAAACACCATAATCAAAAGGAACTTGGAAGGAAAGCATTTATTTTATCTTAAAACTCTCAGCTCACACTCGATCCCAGAGGAAAGTTAAGGCAGGAACTCAAGGTGGGAGCCTAGAACCTGGAACTGAAGCAGAAGTCATAGAGGAGTGCTGCTTACTGGCTTGCTCCCCATGGCTTGCTTAGCTGCTTCCTTATTTATGCAAGCCAGGACCCCCAGCCCAGGAGTGGCACTGACCACAGTGATCTGGTCCCTCTGACATCAAGCATCAATCAAGGCAGTACCCCCATAGACTTGCCTACAAGCCAATCAATACTATGGAGGCATTTTCCCAGTTAGGATTCCCTCTTCCCAGGTATGTCTAGTTTTTGTCACATTGACAAAAATAAGCAGCGCAGTTATGGAGTGGGAGAAAGATTTTTGTTACTAGACAATCCAAATTTAATAAAAAATAAAAATGGAATGGTAGGGAAATCTTGAGAGCAATATAGAAAATCCTGACACACAGCCATGTGCAAATATATCTTCCTATTTAACTTTTTATTTTATCAGCATAAGACATCTTTGTCTGAATTAATACTATGTGTGTTAAATATGCTTCATCACATGTAGTAGTAAAGCTATACAAGCTTTTTAAAAATTCAGTACTTCGTCTCCCCTTCCTTCTACCCCCTGCCCCCATGCTCCCAATTTTGTCTGGAGATCTTGTCTGTTTCCAATTTCCAGGTGGGTCTGTATATGTTTTTCTTTGGATCCACCTTATTGCTTAGCTTTTCTAGTATTGTGAACTATAGGCTCAATGTCCTTTGTTTATAGCTAGTAGAAGGGGAAGATGTGGGGAGAAGGGGAGTCAGAAGGAGAACTTTAGGGAATGGGATAGTCGAGATGGAGGAAGGACAGATATGAGAGCAAGAAAAGAGATAACTTGATTGAGGGAACCATTATGGGGTTAGCAAGAAACCTGGCTCTAAAAAAATTCCCAGGAATCCACAAGGATGACCCCAGCTGAAACCCGAAACAATAGAGGAGAGGGTGCCTGAACTGGCCTTGCCCTGTAGTCAGACTGATGATTATCTTAAATATCACCACAGAACCTTTGTCCAACAACAGATGGAAACAAAGACAGAGTCCCACATTGGAGCACTGGGCTGATCTCCCAAGGTCCACTTGAAGAGTGGAAGGAATGAAAATATGAACAAAGAGGTCAAGACCATGAAAGGTTCATCCACTCAAACAGTT